CTTTCCGTAGCTTTCCATTCATGTAATTCCAAACCTGCAACAAGGACTCACATAATTCATTCAAAGATTGGTCGAAAAAGATGAAAGATTTCATCTGGAATTTCGGAAACAAGAAAAAAAAAACCCGACTTCGATAAAACCATCCACTGAACCAGTAACCAAGTATTGTCCATCTGGTGAAAACTGCGAGCAGTGAGGAAAGCTTGTTTTACCAAATTTAATTTGACGTGCCATTTGCGTTGGATAACGTTCCTCCTCTTGCTCACGAATTGCGGCTTTACCACGAAATAAATCAATCTGTGTTCCTGAATGTTTTGAAGATAAAATATATTCATAAAGGCTGTAACGGTAACATAACAGAAAACTTTTCCAAATCTTTAGGAAATGAAACAATGCCATACAAGTGTTTTTCAACAATTAGACATAATAGAAAAGAAAACGACTGTTTAATTGAATTTGTCGTTTTAATAATTTTCTTACTACTTTCCATGTATAGAAATTGTAACTGAGTCTGGGAATACTTATTTATCAATTTAAAAAATCTTGAACATTAAACACCGCAATATCAATTGAACAGCAAAATTATTAAAATGTACCAGGTGGAAGAAGTCCCTGATGCTGCTGCCATTTCAATGCTTGCGCTAAAAGTGCCAGTAATCTGGATGGTGGTACAACATTCACTTCGGCGGATAAAGACTGTAAAAAAAATTCTCTTTTCTCATTGAATTTGACTAAATAATAACTGCTTATTCAAAACAACAGATGCATACTGCAAGTCGACTGCAAGTGAATTACTAGCATAAAATAAATCTGTTTTGATTAAAACTCAAAGCCAACTTGTGCAATTGCAGCTCTTCGCTTTTCTTTCGAGCTACCATCAGGGTATACTTCACGTGGATCGAAGTAAGAACGAGCCAAAAGATTGTCCAGTCGAGCATATCTAGGAATATCGAGAAAATTTATATCATAAAGAAGGACGGGAAATGATAGAAACGCTCTCCTAAATTGGATTCGTTAAAAATTGAAAGAGATTTGGCCAAATAACAGTAGATTACTAGTCAGTAGGAAGTGAGTGAGGCTTAAGAAAGTCACTGAAATAATAGTCAATACCAGTACCTCTCAGGCTCCGTCGTTTTGAGTAGTTGCATTGGATCAGTTTGCCGCAGAAGAAGGCGAGCTGAGCCCAATTCACGCAATTCCGTTAATTCAATCACAACCTGAAAAGTAGAATGTAAAAATCTCATCATGCACATTTCTTATTATAAATACAAGATATAAGCACCCCTGTTCGGTAAATTAAAGCATGACTGCTTACCAAAGATCTTAAACATACCTGGTTAATTACATTAACTTTATCATAACTACATAAATAATCTCTGGCACACTTTACTGAACTGAAACGTATATCGCAAAGTATTACCTGTTCATATAAATCGATTAATTTTTTTGCCGGTAGTTTTAATGGCTGAATAACCTTAAGCACTGTATCCCAATGTCCATTTTGTATATCATGCACAAAAGAGTCAATGCTATCTACTGTATTCAACGTGATGTTTGTTTCCTCCTAAAAATAACTGTATTTATCCAGAAATTATAATCCTCTCAATCAAAGATAATCAAATCAAATTTTTCGCTCAAAAAATAATGTTCTATTTGTGTCCTTAATGAAATTAAATATTCTATTAATGAGATCGTATCAGTAAAGTCGAATATTCTTGCTCACACTTCTTTGAATAACTGTCAACAAAAGTGGAGTCAGCGATCAACTACGTGTGTTTAAATTCGAAAAAACTATGTATCTGTAAATCAGTAACATATCTATTCCAATAATTATACGAATATCGTATGAGAAAAAGTAAAATATGCAAACAATAAAATCTTCATTTTCATGTCACGGAAAAAAGTTATTCACCTAACACAAAATTATGCTAAAATTTCAAAGCAAACCTGCAAAACTGCCAATGTACGCATTAAGTTATTCTCTTTCAAATATTGTTCCACAAGACGTACAACGCTAAATTACAAGAGTTTCAACATTCTTTTAAACAAGAATTTCAATGAAAATACGATTTATTTTCGACCTTTCAAAATTATTCCTCCCAAGAAACTATTAATTACCAATCTTATACTTTAAAAAAATATCAATTTTGTCCGAAGGCAAATGATATTGTTTGCTTAAACATTAACTATTAATAGATTATGATGGACATGACACCGTCCTGCGATCACTTATAGAAAAAGAAAAAGAAACTTGAGAACATGAGTAAAATGCATTATAAGTAACAAATAAATTCAGAACAAGAAAGAAATAGCAAAACTTACTCCGAAGCTTCTATTTCAATCGATGTCATCGCTATCTGCAAATAAGTAAAAGTCAATTGTTTCAGAACATGAATAAACAATTCACAATTTTTCGCAAACATTTCTTATCACTAAACAATTCCTCCAGTTCTTGAAAACTCCATGCATGCTTCTTTTGTATATGAAGTCTTGAATTTAAACTGGAAATTTTATCATAAAGCTATCCGCTAACGATTCTTTGTAACAAAACTATCCGGAAAAAACCATGCAGAAAAGTTTTTAATGATAGGGTAATGTAAAGTAGACACAAAAATTTGCTCACTTATTACTCTAACATCCATACATCTTTGTAAAATCAGAAGCTTTGCATACAGAGATCGCAAGTTACACTCAAATTGGATAATCTTTACCAGTAATTATCTCATATACTCATCATGCAGAATGACTTCAACAAAGTGTGAAGAGTGGTGCGAGAATTATCTTTGTTGATTTACACGCCTTATTAATCCAACAAAATTAATTCTTCATCAAGACTTATGAAGCATATGCAACTGGTTCCTGAAGTCCTCAGTAAATGCATTCTCGGCGAATTTTTTCCGGAAATGCGACTTCTCAAGAAATGAAAAACCCAGTAAACTGACATCTAACAGGGTAATTTATGATTACAGCTAATGGAATAGCTATAATAAGTTTTTCATAGGATAGTTTGACAAAATATTTTTCGATATTTCGGTTTCTTCACCGATTTTTAATGTCACTTTTTATCATAAAATCATATACGATGCTGAAATGAATGGTTTTATTTTCCAACCAGAAGGAATCGTAGAGCAAATAAAAAATTTGAAAATAATAAGTCAACAATCTCAAACAAGTAACAGACATAATCATAAACTGACTGCATTAATTGGTTAGTTTGATTTAACTTATAAGCCGAACGTAATTAATGGTTTGAACCTTTCTTTTTTAGAAGATTTTATATGGAGTGGACAGATTCCTGCACGAGTAAAGATGTCTAGCACTGTAGTAACATATAAGAACTTGAAAATCAAAGCAGGCAGCAGAAAAGAAAGTTCGAAATGGACAAAATGAATAAGTACAAGCCTAAAGAATTATTCATGTAGTTGTTTTAAAAAAAATCCTATGAATCACTATGAATTTCCAGTAGAAGTAGAATAAATATATTAGCCGAGGAAGATTAATGAACTAAAATTTTGAATATAAATAGATATATATTATTGATTTTTTGCTAATTTTTTTCCATAAAGAACCATTTTCATTCTGAAATATCCCCAAGATGCATCAAGTTGGCATTAAGAAACAAATACATGTAAAAAATGCATCAGCAATAAATGATATTTATCATTGCAATACAATTGGATTTTGAGAGAATATAATATATTAGAGAAAAGGATACAATAAACAACCGACCACAACAAATAAAAACCATAACTGCGAAAGTACAGTAATATTAATTTCAATTTCATATGAATAAATAAACAAATAAACTTTTATCTCCAAATGTGAAATAATAAAATTATGTAAAATAAGGCGATGGGAAAATCAAAAATCACTAGAAAACATCTGAAGATTGTTAAAAAGATGTCACACTTAATTCTTTTAGAAACTTCCATATGTTTTCCACTCATATACTTATATTGATAATATTTTTTCTAGTTTCTTATCAAAAAAAACCATAATTCAGTATTTCCAAGTAGTAGAACATTTGATATCCATTTCCTTCAAAATCCAGTTTGTAATATACATTAATTCAGCCAGAATTACTGTTGAGAATACGTTGTTGGTACTAAATAAAGGAAATTAATACTAAGTGATATGAAACGAGATCTTGTTCTAAAAATACATGATGATTCGGACTTTTCTATGCATCTTTATTCCCTCCATATACAGTTGATCCTTTTGAATTAATCAATACCTTCTTTGCTGATGTTTCTGCATCTACAAATTAACGACTCAAATACATTCAATTTTATTTACTTTCTATCTGTTCTTGATGAACACATTTGTTATTTCTTTTCCTTAATTGGTAGTTTCTCTATGAGAAGCTATCAGTTAAAGAAAAGAAATAATGTGTGAAAGGTTTAATGCTTACTAAGCTGCATCAAGTCATCTTTGAAAACTAAAGCTAAGTCATGTCCAGAGTACTGTAATACTATTGGTGATACATTGCACCAAACTGTTACATTTTGATATTGCGGTTCAGTAGTCTTTCTGCGCACTTTTTGATTCTTGCTCTTTTTTCCGCAATTTCTAAAGAAAAGCAAAATAAAATTCCTAAATATAAAATAGAGCCTAATGAAACCTAAATCGAACTTTCAATCTTTATCCAAACGTAGCAGTCAACGTTAGCGATAATAATTTTGATTCACGATATCGAAAATTATTGGATTTCAAATTTCTCTTTTAACATGGTTAATTGATCATCAATAAAAATTATAAACTGACTTTATCACTCAGTGCAACGCGTTGCGTGATTCTTTTTTGAAATAAATCTACAGTGGGAACCAACAAATCTCTTAGCTAATCCATTTGCTAATTACCAGTTTTAGCACTCTGGTCATGGTAGTTAGTAATTATTCGATGTAGTTGACAGTCGTCAGGAGAGAAATGAGGCCAAGAAAATCAATTAAATAAATAAATTGCAGCTAAGAGAACATGTAAGTCCCAACACTATGAAAACGTTACATCATACCTTGTGGTGTTAAACCGAACTGATTATTTCCAGCCATCTGGAAATCTGATTTAAATGATGGGTTCGAATAAGTGCTCATATCTGATTGTTGCTGATGTCCAAACAGTGGTGTAGGCGACGTCGGTAAGCCAAAAGATATCGTGACTGGTGGAGGCGCTAGATGTGTAATACCCATAGTACTTAGTGGCGGCATTGGAAAAGCTAGACCCGAAAATTGTGAAGAACTTGCAAATGGAGCTGCGGAAGATACAGACATCTGTGGAGGTAACGGTGGGATTCCGCATGATAGCTGTTGCTGCTGTTGGTGTGGCAAATTTGAAAACATCTGAGGCACTACACCCGCTATCGCTGACTGAGGAGACGAAGATGAAGCTACAAAATAAATCATTACGTAAATTTCATAACCTGTGAACATCCAGATTTTCATTACTCCACTGAACTAAACTGATTAGTTCAAAAAATTCCATCAAGCAAAATTTCATCATGACTGGTTGATGAAATTCAGCAATCCATATACTGGCAAAATTGATATTACAAAAAATGTGATGCTCACGATTATAAATAGGAAGCTGTGGTGGATACTGCGGATCATGCATGTACTGCTGTTGCTGTGATGAATAATATGACTGCTGATACATGGATGTCGGTATTCCACCATATTGCTGAAATAATATCTCCTCTTCTTTCTCCCCCTCTTCCTCTTCTTTAAAAGAATTTCGATAAAAAAACTCTATAGCACGTTAAAATGCTCTATAAAATAAGAACTTTGGATTGAATCTTAATAATACATGCCAAGCACATATCAAATCAACACTTAGTAACCTATCTAATAATTACTTCCGCGGTAATTTGGTAAGGTGACTTCCTCATTGATTGGTTAGTTCTTTAATGTAATATTTACTTCGACATTTGACCCAGATCTGGAAAGCCTCAAACTTGAAAACTCAAGTTAAAGAAATGTAAAAAAGAAAAAAAACCTCTGTATTAGTTGAATTTCCCATGAAATTCTGTTGTTGCTGTTGAACTTCTTGACTTGTATTTGAATAATTTGCACCACTATTTTGAACAGAATAGGGTTGTTCAGTTGTTCCAGAAGACGTCGATAACTCAAGAGTTGGAAATGCCGCTGATGGCGGTGGTGTAACGCTTATGTTGGTACTACTTGCGATTAATGGTTGTTCCTGCTAATATGATGGAAAATAACTAACAACAGGTCATTAAAACATCTGAAATTTTGGCGAGCCATACAAATGATGATTTGTCATTTTATCAATTCTCTTTCTAGTCAGCTTTTGAAGCAAACAGTTAAAATGTAGATTATAGTTATCAAAAACTTTTTAATCTATATTTTGAAATTCACTTTGCAGGACAAAATCAGTTCTGAAAAATAACAAGAATAGAAATACTTTTTTCAGTTTAAAAAATTAAAATTTAATGACATAAATCTAACCATGATGGACTGCAGAGACGCTGAAAATCCTCCAGAACATACTTCACTTGAATAAGGACCACTTATTCCCGTCGTGCTAGCTACTGTTGAATCAGATACTGCCGGCTAAAGATATCAAATTACTTAAAAAACAGTTAAATGCAAAAGAAAATTCAAAAAAAAAAAATTATTCCAAAGTTCTATTACTGAAAAATATCGCAGAAAGTACGATGTGATTTAGAAAAAAGCCTAACTTGTTTCAGAATTGGTGGCATAAATGAACTTGGATCAGGGAATTTTGTAATAGCTTGTATCGTATCAATTTGTGGAATACCTGTGCTGCCTAAAAATGGATTATGCACATAAGACAGAACATTTGTTTGGACGACTTTGAAAGAAATGGGATTATAAAGCAAATAATAATCGTACTATAGTATAATTATTTCCAAAGTTCTAAATTACTTCAGATCGAACTGTATCATATTAAATTTACCCGAGCGAAACATGAAAGTTTCATTACAGATTTCTTGAATAAATGATTAATATCTATCCGTAATATTAGCTACTAGCAATCTTACTACTGAGAGCAGTTTGCTCGGTAAAGTTGAGAAAAACACATATTTGTAAAAATCTATATACAAACAAATCTTTATCATTTTCTCAGTAAACAGAACGATCCATAGTCAAAAATCTAGAGAAATTGTTTAGGTACTATTATATACCTGGTTGAGGGATATTGATAGTGCTATTTGAGGTAGCAGGAGGTCCTAAATGGCTCGAATTATTAGTATTCATTAATGGCATAGCATCTGATAAATCTGTCTCATTTAACTGTTGTTTAAGCATTGCAGCAATTTCTTCGCCCTTCAGTGGACCTCGTCGATCACCCGGTATGCGATGCAAATAACCGTAACCAATATCACATCCCAAACATCCTTCGCCACCCCAAGCTGAGTTGGGAGTAAGCGAGACCTAAATGTGCAATCATTTTAAATCTTGATAAGCTGGGATTTTTTTAGTTTCCTATGCATCAAGCTTTTTTCAGTTTCCTATATATCAAGAATGCGATTTTTCGGCAAGAAAAAATGATGCTCTGCCATTAAATTTAATTGCTCAAAATTAATCCTTTACACTTTTACATTTACACATTGTATACCTTATAGAAAATACTGTAATTGAAAGGTCAATGAGTTAAGACATCCTTCTATCATTAATTTCATTACTTTAAAGTAGTGAGCACAAAAAAATAGGGACGTACTTCTCGCACAGAATCACTCGCCGTATTATAAACATATAATTTGATGGGTTTCCCCTCGTTAGCTTGCAAATGAGCAATAAGATCATCGGCCTAAACAAAATAACACACAAACTTGATGCAATCTCACATGATATATTCTACTAACAAACATTTAAAAAACCAGAATATTTAACTTTTGGCTAAATAAAGGATTTTATGCCTAATTTATCTCTTTAGCAACATTTGTTTTTCTACATGGGTGGAAAATTCTAAACAGCATATACCAACGGTTTGCGAAAATATATACCTCATCTATGTTATCTTTTTCTTAGTGTAATTTTTTCCTATTCTTCATTATTCTTCCGCGAAGATACAGAAGAATCAATAAACCATAATTTTCAAAGGAAAAAAAATAGAGGACCTTATAAAGCGGATTATCTGTTTCATCAGATTCTCGTTTTTTACTAAGAAGGCTTCATATCATTTATCAACAAATAACTTTAATAACAGATATGTATATCGCTTAAATTCATTTTTGACATTTATTTCTAAAATTAGGGATCAATAACAAAATAATGTATCTAAAACTTAAGGACAAGAATTCTTATTAAAGGATTAATCAATTATTTATTGAAATAAAAATGGTTTTAACATTCAAAAATTGACAAACCTGATTTAGGACAGATTCTGCTCCAAGTATATAGTCCAAGTTAGATTGTAATCCAGCAATTTCTGCCGGTGAATTAGGCTGGACTTGCACAACATGCCAAACATTTTCGCGCGCTCCTTCAAATGAGCAGAACCGAATTGAAATACCGAGTAATCCCTGTCCACCCCACATTTGCGATGGTGTAATTTGTGTCTGGCGAACTGTTTGAGTTTTGCTGAAAATACGAATTACAAAACAAACCTACAGAACTGCTCGTTTCACTGACTAAAAGAGAGAACATTAGAGAACATTAAGTATTCGAAGAATCATCTATTCTGATGTCAAGAAGACAATACAAAATATAACGAAGACTCAGATAAGAAAGAAGTAACAATGTCCCACAAATGTCAGCACTTCAGCAATATCAGTCAATACATCAACAGATAGCTTGCAAGTTACAAAAACAAGATATTTAAAGAAAGAATAAATAACTCACCTATTATAAACAGTCAGTTCTAACGACCGTTCCACATGCTGCTTTAAGATATCCTTTAAAGTATCATTATCTGAATCCTGAAATAAAAACTAAATTGTTCGAACGATTCGTCTTCCGCATCCAACTGTAACAACCTCCCAAATTGTATGTTACAGAATAGTTTGATGTCACATCACGGCTATGTCACAGAATAATTTGACAGTTATAATTTTATAGTATTCGACGCTCAGCGTGTTTGATGACATAACCATAAATGTCAACATATTAGCAACACAAAAAAAAATTGAAGTAAAATAAATAATTACCAGCCGTGTGTTTCCAATGCAAATAATAAAATCGAAAAATGGTTCCAGTCCAGCAGCCTGCCCAGGTGAATTGTCTTGCACCTAAATATTCTTAACTTGTAATTAAAAACTGATTTGCCCGTTAAAACTCAATGTAAAGAGGAAGAAGTAATTATAAGCCGCGAATAAGGCAAAACCAGGTAGTAACTTTAGTAACACCAGAAAACTATACAGTTCAAAATCGCAGACTTGCCCAGTATATTTCCATCCCACTATCAGCAGAGGCTAAAAAGTACAAAACTTGTAACATCATAACCTTAGAGATAACGTAACATGTCAAATTGGGTCATATTTATTCATGGATCTTCATAAAATACCAAAATAAGATGATTGATTTTGACAAGGATAAGATAATCGATTCTGACAAAGTATCAGCTCATAAATGATAACATTTGATAAATAATCAAAGGACAAAATTCAAAAAAAAAATGGGAAGATGAACTAACTCTCAAAACATGATAACCATCAGTACCACCACCAGGAATATTTGTACTGCCAGAATTTCCCATTAAAACTGCTGCAAAAAATTAGCAATAATTAATTAGTTAGTACTTAGTATTGAAATACATCTAAAAGCAGACAGCTTAAAACTAGCTTGCTTGTTCCAGAACAAAGTGGTTAAACTTGAAATTCTTTCCTGACACAATACCACTCTTGCCAAGAGATTTTGCAATTCTGAGAGCACTTTTTAATAATTCTCCAAAAGCACTTAAAAGTAGGTCAAAAATGAAACGTGCCGAATATTTAAAGATATCCCGAATCCAGAGAGCAACCTAATATTCAACTCAATGTAAAATTCATATCTCAGTTCTGACTGAGATTTTAATATTGATATTCGAGATCCGTCTACACCCGAGATATACCGTTACTGCGCGATTCCGAAACACCCAACACATAAAATCCCAACTTACCCTGATATTGTGCTGTTAGAGCTCTAATCGATAACATCGGCAACCTGCCAAGAAGCTCCCGCTTTCTGAGTGTTGCTTTCCGGATTCTTGAAAGTGAGGCTTTTCATTTATTTAATTACTCAGGTTTTGCTTATGTATTACTTTGTTCTCTTCTTTGCTGTTACGTCTAACGAAACTGTTTCATTTCACTTCAAACGTTGGAATTATCCGGAAATTTTGTTAATTTCACATAATTGCTAATTTTGCTGTGCAACGTCGTAGTTTCCTTACGTTTGTAAAAACTTGGAAGGAAATATTCTTAGTAAGCAGTATTCTTTTTTTTTTTTTTCAAAAGTTGCTCGAAAAAAGAATCGGATATTCTTTTGAGAATGTACTTCAATTTCGTGCAACGTCATCACGCAAAAGTAGCACAAATAATTTTTTGTTTTCATATGACATACCTGTGGAAAAGTCGATTGCTACTATGCGATCATCGAATTGAATCATAAGTGCTATCGAGATACTGCACTGGATTTGTCTTACTTGGTCTCATCAGATTTAACACTAAAACGTTATGTTGCTTGTCAAAATTCGTGTAGATTGCGGAAAGATATTTATCCATAATAATAATGATTAAGACTTCAGGATGGAATTACTTCAAACTTACGCGGCTAGCAGTGATGGTGCTTCATCAGATACGGATGATGATGGTGACTTAACACATTGTAAACTGATAACTTTGAAAAATTGCCGATCAGTTGCTCTTGCTAGTGAACTTGCACCAATTGTTGCTACAAAAATGGATGTCGGTGGTTTACGATGCATTGATCCACAAACTAAAGAACTCAATTATAATCCGAAATACGAAGAACTTTTCCAACCTGTGGTATGGTTTCTTATTTAGGATTTATTAGATTTATTAAGAAAAGTCAAAATTAATTTATGGTTGAAAATTCAGTTTAGTAATTAGATTAATACTAATTCAAGTTTGAAACTTATTTATACTAGTAGGGTTGCAAATTTCCTGTTCACATGTTTTTGTTTTGGGATTCTTCTATATTTAAGTTATATTCAAGTTTATCACCTTTCCGAATTCTATATAATTAGTAATGAAGTGATTGCCGATTACTCTTCATTAATCTTAAAATCTTCTTGCTTTGGTAATAATGGTTTCCAACTTCGGCTTTTAAGATATCTTAACAGCTTGTGTTTAAAAATATGAATAATTTAATCTCTACGGATTAAATTATTTATATTTCTGCGTTTTACTATTTTTCCCACTCTTCTATCTGTTTGCAGGCTGGACCATCAAATCCCTTCAAGTCAGCCAATCAAACGGCACCAAAAAATATGCTAACTGGTTTCGTAGAATCAGCACATGTGAATAATTTCCAATTTGAACAACAGATCAGATCTTTTGATACGTTAGGATTTGCTCTTGATCCATCCGCTGATCAATCCTGTCAATTTATCGGTGATACAAAAAAGGTATTGTAAGGTTTTCAAAAATTTATGATAGGTAAAGATTTGAAATATCGTAGATTTAGTGATTTTTATATTCCTTTCTCACTAATCTTGTTTATGGGTTCTCTGTTTTAGGCTCAGGAAACGCATGGTACAAGTCTTTTCGAAGGACAGAAAACAGGTGGAGAAAAACGCAGGAGGAAACGGAATATGGACCCGAGCGATGTGGAAGGATATACTGGTACTGAGTTGTTAAATTTTTGTTAATTGTCAATTATTTGAAAATTTTTTACTTTTAATGCCATAATTCAATTTGGTTTTTATTTTACCGGTTTAAATTTTCTACATATCCTACTCTCTGTCGATCAATATAAATTCTAGGACCATGGGCAAGATTTGAAGATGAAGTGGAAGTGTCAAGACCGGATTCGGAATTAGCAAAGGAGTTAGAAGAAATTGTGAAAAAACGTCAAAAAAATAGTCGAGCAGGTCGCAAAGCAGCACAGCAACAAGAAGCTATTGCGGATGAGTCTTCTACATTGCATCGTATGATTTTTTTTTGTTGATGTGGAGATAGTTTATTAGGAACTTATTCGGTTATCTCAGTTTTGCAGTGACAGTAACCCAGCCTTATTACTTTGCATTATTTCAGTTGTTGAATTATATTTAAAAATCATACTTAGAATTTGAAATCAATTTAGAAACCTTGTCTCAAACTGTTTGTTTCAGTGAAAGAAGCAGAGGATTATCTGGGACGTTCATTTATGCATGCACCGCAATATATTGGTGTCAATTTACGTGAGGATCATGTACCCGAACGTTGTTTTATACCGAAAAAACATATTCACACTTTTCGTGGGCATAACAAAGGCATCAATTGTTTGCGATGGTTCCCGAAGAGTGCACATTTGTTCCTTAGTTCTGCTATGGATAGCAAAGTTTGTAAAATTATGCTAAATTTTCATATTAGGTTCTTCTTCTCCCTTTTTTTTTTTAAATTTTCCTTCTTCTTTTGACGTGGACATATCCATTTCGAGTTGTGACATCTGGGACAGTCGTTTATACTGAAACTTGCTGTACATTCTACTGTTCTTCCAAAAATAAAAGTGTTGGAGGGGATATTAGAATATTGAAAATTTTCTAATCTGAAAAATTACAAGTTCCTATCTTAGATTAAATTATGGGAAGTATATGGAAAACGAAGTGTGGTAAGGACATACGCAGGGCACAAAATGTCAGTTAAAGATGTTACGTTTAACAATGATGGTACCGAATTCCTTTCTGCCTCTTTTGATAGGTACATAAAATTATGGGATACTGAAACAGGTTGTTTTCTTCATTGTTATTTAACAATTTGTTTCTAAAAATTTATTTAGCTTATGAATTTTGATGGTATTTAAGATTTTTTCAGTTTCATAATTTTTTTTTTAAAATTTTCAATTGTATAATTAATTGATACAACAGGCCAAGTTAAACAACGATTTCACACTGGTCACATACCGTTTTGCGTGAAATTTAATCCGGATGAAGACAAGCAAAATATGTTTTTGTCAGGCATGCAAAATAAGAAAATTTTGCCGTGGGATACTCGGACAGGTGAAATTGTTCAGGTAAATATTTATTAATTTTCTTGTAGTTCGTTTTGCTAAATCATTTGTTTTTAAATTATAAGTTCAATTATCAAATCTCTTTTTATTTCAGGAATATGATCGCCACTTAGGGATTGTTAACTCAATAACATTTTTTGACAAGAATCGAAGATTCTGCTCAACTTCTGATGATAAGTCAATTCGAATATGGGAATGGTTAATATTATCAATAATGATTGTACCAAATTCTTTAAGCAGTTGCATGTTTAGAGCCACGCTCAGATTAATTGTTTGCACTTTCTGAGAAATAGAGGTTTTGCCATCCTTCATTTGAGAAAATATAATTGTCGATAGTTTGCAAATCAAGGGAAAACATTTCGCACAGTCCAGACTAGCTGGTATTTCTTTCCATTTATCTTTTAGAAAATAATAAATTGATAAGTCATAATTCATAGTAACTTATAGTAAAAGCTTATTTCTCTAGGGAAATTCCTGTGGATACAAAACTTATTCAGAATGCCGGCTTACACTCAATACCAACGATGACGAAGTCTCCAACAGGTTATACTAAATCTTCTGAAAATTCCGCTTAGTAATACTATTTGATTACAGTTTAAAGAAAAATATTCAGTAGCTTAAAATAATAGTCTTTTAAACTCATTTTAGAAAAATGGATAGTTGGTCAGTCGATGGATAATCGTATCGTATTATTCCAACTGATTGATGACAAATTACGATTTGCCAAAAAGAAAGCGTTCAAAGGACATAATGTTGCTGGTTATGCTTGTTCAGTGGATTTCGCACCAGATATGAGGTTTTGAGGATTCATTACATAATGATTTTTATCTGCTATATTGTAATCAAAGTGTGATCTAGAATGATGAAATGTTTGGTTTTACGGGAATGCAAATATTTTTCTAAAATTTTGAAAATTACAAACCAAATCTTCGAGATTTTAAGCTTCCGGTTATTAGTCTATTATTATGTCACAATTTGATTTTGACAGTGTGGAGCTCCACGCTACTTTTTCAAACATAAACTTTGAAAATCCAAGCTTTTTCATTAGAACAAATTAAAAATGAAATATTTTCAGCTTTCTAACATCGGGTGATGCGGATGGCAAAGTATTCATTTGGGATTGGCGTAATCACAAAATAGTGGCGCGATGGAAAGCACACGATGATTGCGTTATCGCAACATTATGGCATCCACATGAAACTTCGAGAATGATAACCGGAAGCTGGGATAATGTGATTAAAATGTGGTCTTGAATGCCTTTCCTATTTTTTTGAAATCCACGAGAAAATTTTTAAGACTCCAGGAATTTTTAGAATTTCATAATACTGTTTATGGTCAATTTTAATTGCTTTAGTAACATATCCGCGGCAGAATTAGAAAACTGTAATCCTAAGGAAATATGTTTTTTTATACATTTTTCAATGTTCATTTTTCATAATTATCTTTTCATTTTTCACGCTAATCATATATTTTTGTTTTTATTATAATTTAATTCACTGTTGTTATCGACGAAAATTAAAAATGCCGTATTAGT